CAATGGCAACTTCTGATGCTGTTTTTTTATCATTTGTTAATAATTTCATGTCAAAAGTACACATATTATGAAGTTGATCAAATGCGCCTTTATTATTAGCATAAGCTAAATGATGAATTAAGTAATATTTTCTATATGGTGGTTTTAGATTAGCTAAATCTTCATCTTGTTGCAGCATTTTTCTACATTCACTTATGTGATTATTTTTTGCATGTTCAACAAATTTATCCATTTCAACAAGACGTTGTATTGTCTCATATAATTTTTTATGAGTATCAGATTTGTTTTGATTTTCACTTGATATTTGAAGAATATCTTTTGCTGGTTTTGTTGCCGTTTTTGTTAAAAGAATAAAACGTATATTTGGTATGGCTATAACTTTATTAAATAAATCCAATAAACCATGCATAACAAGATAATGAAGAATTGAATAATTGCCATTATCTGGTATTAGTGTTAAATAATTTGATTTAACTAATAAGGTACGATAAACAAGATCCCATTGTGTTTTGTCATTACGTTTGACAATGTCATAAATAACTTCAAATGATAATGGTTCTGGATTGTTCGATGTCGCCATTATCTAGAAAAAAAATAAATTGAAAAGAATATATTTCTTTTTGTAATTTAGAAAAAACCTTGGAGTCAAAAAAATAAAATAAAATTTGTATTACAGATATCATACAAATTGAAAAAAATTAAATTCTTCATTTTCTGTGCTGATTCATTCAAGTGAAGAGAAAATACATAGAAATTATATAAAACTTAAGGTGTAAGATGAAGAGCATTAATAATTTGTTTAACCACTGTATTTGGATTGAGATCTTTATTAGGGAGTTTTTGATTTGTCATTGGTGAACGATCATTGTTTTTAAGCCAAGCTGTAATTGATGAACGTTCATAGGTAAATCCATCAGCAGCAACCACTAATTAAAAAATAGATTTTATTTATTTAAAAAATATAATAATTAAATTCTAAATAATAATGAATAATTATTTTATTGTGGAAACTCAATATTTAGACATTATTCATTTGAAACATTTGTTTCGTTATTACGGATATTAAGACACATGTTTTCTCGATGTAAAAAAGACATGTATATTTTTTTTTCTATTTGATTTTTACATTTATCAAACTGAAATTTGTTTATTATATTTTATAATTTAAGAACAATATCTTTGCTCTATTTTACGAGGAAACATCTTCAACTGTGACTCATCAATAGAACCCATCGGGCTGGTCCCGTCCCTGATGATCTCTAATCGTCTGGGAAATGCGTAAGATGCGCTAGTCATTGAAAAAAAAGTCGGAAAAAATTTATCTCGGATCTTCAGAGCGACTTTTCAATCCCAATTAGGAAATTTTATTGAGAGTACGCAAGTATAGTTCGACTGAATCCAGATCCAAAAATTGTAGATCTGACAGGCTCTACTTCCCAATAGAACTGATATTTTGTCAACAAGTAGGTCCCAACGAGACTTGTAGAAACCTATAAGAGTTCGTCCTCATGTGATGTTCTTCTTAAGTTATTATTATTTTATTTTATTTTTCTATAAATCGATTTTGTCAGATAAAAAATTCAGTAAAACGATAATAACTTCGGAAGGACAATGCATGGAGACGAACTGTCACGGACTTCTATTTGTCTTAATTCTGAGCAAAATATCAGTCTGTTTGGCAAGTCACACTTATGAACTTTCTCCTCGTTAGTGCTTTGTTTTGTATATACAATATATGATCTAAATTAATATTCGTTCATTCTGTTTAGTAGATAAGAAATAAACGAAAATTATTTTTTTTATGAACTTTACCTGGGTCTATAAATATAGCAAGTGTAAGAGGACATGTGAGAGTATCAATCATCATTTCTTGACGTGTATCTTCTTCAGTTTTCGAAGCTTGACTACTTTTGGTTTTTAGTTCGCTTTCTTGTTGAGTTCGTATTTCATTTATGTGTAACATTACTTCAGCTCGGCTCTTCATTTTTATTGGTTTACCCAGAAGATTATTATCTAAATCTTTGACTATACATTGTTGATCCATCATAGCATTTACAGCATTTGTTCGTTTTTTAGCTTCTTCTGATGGTTTATATAATTCATCAAGCGTAGAATCATCTTTATCTAACAAATTTGGATAATGTTTTTCAATATATTCAGCAAATTTTGGTTGACCTTCTTCTCGAGCAATGACATTAATTTTTTTTCGATCAGCTCTTAAATTTAAATCAAATATACAATTTTTTATTTCTTTAAAACTTTCAAATTGTTTAATAGCATTTGCACATGCCATATGATGAATTAAATAAAAACGACGATATGGTGGTTTTTCATTTACAAAACTTGGATTTTCTTTAACAATTTCATAACATTTATCCCATTCACAAACTTTAGCATAATTAAGAATTTGATCAAGTTTAACAAGTTGTTCAATACGTTTTATCATATCTGATATATCATTACGCAGTGAAGCAATATCAAATATAGTTTGATTATCACTTGTTTGAGTTAATAAACGAAATTCCTTATTAGATTTTTGTAAAGCAAGTAATTGATCTAAATTATTAACATTACCAGAGAGTATAATTTGATGTAAAATTGCCCATTTTCGACCTTCCGGAATCATAGTTAACCATTCTGGATGAAGACTAACTGCCATGAGAACATCGGAAAAATTTTCAAAATTTTTTGCATTATTGATTGCTTTATGTAGAAATTCGGTATCACTCATAATTTATTCAATTATAAATCTGAAGATAGAAAAAGCAATTACTTAGATTTACAAGAATTATTTATTACAAATATGAAAAAAGAAGAAAAGAAGAAAACATTGGATGTGTTTTTTTGGTTCACAAAATTGATCGAACAGACTATCATCATATGGAATAGCATATGTAAATTTAAGCGTGTACAAAGTTCAACGAATAACTACTTAGTACAATCATATTTATTAAACATTAATATTTCATTTTTTGTCGGGTTTTGTAGGCAAGGAATTAGCACCTTGAAGCGCCTGTAGAATTGATTTAACGGCATAATTTGGTTTTAATTCAAGATTTTCGAGTTCTTGATTTGTCATTGGACTACGATTGGAAGTTTCGAACCATTTCATAATAGCCTCGCGTTCATATGTAAAACCATCAGCAGCCACAACTGTGAAATACCAGATAGAGTTCAAAATGATATTTAAAAAATTTTTAATTAATTTTTCGCTTTTGTTCTGTAAAAAGTTTGTTTTAAGAATGGCAAGATAGGTGTGAGTGAAGATGTGATGATGGGCTTTGGATAGTGTTCTTTTCACACACACCTACATCCACATTCTAGTTTCTATTGAATAATTCGAAAAACGAAAACAGCTAGTTTACTTCCGGTTTGAACTATTTGAAAAAACAATGTGGGAAGAAGAAAAGAAAACTCGAAATTTGATTGGTTTTCACCTGACTAAGCAGCTGAGTATCTACTCGAAATTTTGAACACCGCTTGCAGAAGGCTTTTCCCATTGGATTTTTGGCTCTATTAAAATCAATCAAGAGGAAAACTTTTTCTTTATCGATCCAAGCCAGATTCAGTTCATTATCCGACTCCATTCAAAAGTGACAATGGTCTTCCTAAATTTCTTGATTTCGACCAATTAATGTTTTATGTATCGAAAATAGGTTTTGAGAAGGATAATCGATGATTCTGAGTTGAGTGGTGATTTTCAGTTTTGATTTCAAAGTGATCCAAATTCACTATAGGAAGATATGATTTTATTGAAGCCCAAAAGTCTATGGGAAAAAACCTTTCAAAAGCGATGTTATTCTTTTTTTCGAATAGTGAAAACCTGACATCATCGGCTGTTTTCATTTTCGAATTACTTAAAAAAACATTCATGTTTATTTTATTTCAGTAGCGATACTAGTTTTATGTAAAGCATTCCGACCGATCAAGAACGTGAAAGATGGATTCGAGAGTCCGAATATCGATATAAATGAGATTGACGAAAAGAAAAAAGAAATAACCTATATCTTCAACTACATATTTGTGTTTCTTGTTTCTTGTATTGACTTTATTTAGATGCTCATTTTGGGACATGGCAAGCGGACCCATTCATCTTCTCAGTGAATGATTTTTGTTTTCTGACGAATGCATGAAGGTGTGCTAAAATATGTTAAAGTAATTTTGGAATTGTCAAAAAAAAATTATGTATCATCACTACAAGTCAACCATTCACGAAATAATTAACCCAATATTACCAAATAGTAGCAGTCGATCGAAAAGAGTTAAACATCAAATAGCTGCCTTTTAAATTTTGTTTCTTTTGAAATGACAATAAGAAAATTCTGATTCATAATTTTTCAATCTAGTAATCCTAATAGATATATGTAAATCATAGGCTCTGGCTTATATATATAGAGGTCTATAACATGTAATCAAAATAAATTTGACATAAAGGATATTATGAATTAGTTTTGCTCACTGTAAGTTTCATAGTTAATATTTTTACCTGGATCATGAATTATAGCTTTTGTAATACAACAAGTAATTGAATTGAGTAAATTTTGTTCAGAAATGTTCTTAATATTTTTCTGAGCTGTTACTTCATATTTAGTTTGTTCATCATTAGTCTTTTCAGAGATCTTTGATTTTGGTTTATAAGATTTTTTATTATCATTATTATTATTGTTTCCATAAGTAGTACTAGGTTGAGTATATGTTGGTGATGGCATTGGCATTTGTATTGTTGTTGGATATGGACTTTGATGATTACTGTGTGTAGTAAATTGATGATTGTTTGTTTGATTTTGTGAACTATGTGTTGTTGTCGGATATGTACCCTGATACATACTTTTTGTTGTAAAATAATTATCATTTGTTAAATTTTGAACACTATTTGTTGTTTTTGGTGTTGGCATTGGCATTGGCGTTGGCATTGCTGTTGGATTTTCACCTTGATAGAGACTATGTGTTGCAAAATGATGATCATTTCCTGCATTATGATGATTATGTGTTGCAGGATGGGGATAATGATGATAATTATTAGAAAATGTTGATGAATTATTTGACAATGGAAATATATTATTTAAATTAAGATTTGCTGGAATAAATGATATACAAGGATCATCATAAAAACCTGGACTATAATGTGGTTTACCGGATGAATCTGTTAATGATTCATCATCAGTTGTATCTTCAGTTGTTTCTGTTTGAAGACTTTCAACATATTCAGCAAATGCTATTTTGTTATGCTCACGAGCAACTTGAGCAACTGTTTTATTTCCAACAAGTAAATCAAGTTTAAAATGACAAATTTTAGTTAAATCTTTAAATACATTAAGTTCTCCGACAAAAGCCAAATGATGCGCTAAATAAAAGCGCCGATATGGTGGTTTTTCATTAACAATATCCGGTTGTATTGTAATACATTGTTTTACTAATTCCCATTTACGATCTTTAGCATTACTTAATAATTGATCAATAGCAACAAGTCGTTCAATATGACGTAACATTCCAGGATGAATATGTGCACGTTCAGTAGCAACTTCACGTACAGTTTTACCATCCCGTGCTTTATATAGAAGACGAAATCCAGCATTATTCACTTGTAATGCAAGAACTTCATCCAAATGTTTGACATGACCAGAAAAAACTATTTGATGTAATATTGTCCATTGACGACCTAGAAGAAATTTAATTTTTATTATTTTATTTAAAAATTTTTTCTTGACAAACCATCAGGAACTCTTGTTAACCAATCTGGATTTGCTGTTAATGCACTAGATACTTTATGCCAATCACGATTTAGTTTTGCAGATTCATATGCTGCTATAAAAATAACATCTGTATTCGATGTTTCAGATTGATGTGGTTGTGGAAATGATGATGGTGTCGCTGCTGCTACTGCTGCTGTTTGAGTTCCAGCATTGTCAATTGTATTAGTTTGATATTTTCCATTTGTTGAAGTCGGAGACTTTTCAGACATCGATGATGTTTTCGGTTTTCTAAAGACGAAAAAAAAAAAAAACTAAACATATAAATAATTATAATTTTATTATGCTATTGATAGAATTTTGAAAAACAGAAAAAAAAAACAACAAACGCACATTAGTTTATTATACCAATTTTGAAACATGATGACTGAAAAAAAAGGCCGTATGGAGTCGCTTTTACTTTATTTTTCTCTTTCTGTCTGTCAGTTCGACATATGTAAGAACAGAGAATAAATAAATGAAGGTGGAGAAAGGTATTTGAAAGCGTTTATTACCAAAACAGCTTGCTAATTTTGTCGTCGAATATTACACTTTCATTACAAAAAAAAAAACAACAAGGAAAAACGTCTCGTGTTTTTTTCTTACGCGTTCTTTTTCTTCTATATCAATATCAGTTCTCGGAAGAACTAAATTTTTATTACAAATTTCTTCAGAAAAAATAAAGGTGACATATTTTCGAAAGGGACTTTTTGTTTTTTTATCGTGTATTTTATGTTTTCGTTAATGACATATCTGAGTCAACTGATTGGCAATATAAAAATAAACAAAAAATGAAAAAATTAATTATATGCATAGTATTGCACAACGACTCTACCTAGTTGTATTTATTATCAAAAAGCACTCTTACAGAACGATAAAAAGAAACGTCTAAGTAGTTTCTCATATTTTTTTTTCAGTAAAACTTTGACAGTGCGTAAAAAGAAATAAAAAAAACATTCAGGAATAGGCAAAATAGAACAGGTTTTAAACGTAAATGCATGCACGTCTTGTTTTTATCAAGAGAAATTAATCTATTTATGATTCTTGTTTGCAAGTGATTATGTTTTATCATGAAAAAGAAAATTTTATGAAAAAAAAAAAAGAGAAAGAAATCTTTTGACCGTTTAGATGTCAGATTTAAGTGTTATCATTATCTAAGAATTCAAAGCTTAATATTTTTATTATTATATATTTTTTTTTCTATAAAAACAGAAGGAAGCTATAGAAAAGATTACCAATCAAATTCAATTTTTCTACACTCAAAACATAAGTATGATATGATCGCTGACATACAATCATCAGCTAACAGATGTATCGTATGATTTGTGCACCTACTGAAGTACTAATTACATCGTCATGAAAAAACATATCATGTCTTTTTCTTTATGAAATAGATTATTAAATATATACATCAGCTTCATACACAAAATTTTCTTTTTCTACTATCCAATCAAACAAATATAATAGCTTTCAAAATTATTTGACTGTTTATTTCCAATTTTTTTGTTTCGCTGCTATCAACACAAATAAGAATTTGCAAATAAGATTCTGTTTGAATTATTCAAAATAAAACATCCTTCAGTTCTGTACGACGGTTTTGACTGAAGTACGTCAACAATTACGAACGGCATAAAAATTATTTTTTTATGCGAAATAACAGAAAAAAAATCGTACAGTACTGAGAGATGTTTAATTTTATAGAGAATTCTAGTTGCAAATTCTTATTATCATTGATTACAAAAAAAAAAATTGAAATAAACTTGATTGAGGTAAATCAGAATACTGTTTACCTGTAAATATAAAATTTTCCAAGATTTCTATTATGAAATGTATATCATCGAAAATCTATCTAATACAGAAAAAAAAAATATTATGCATCCAACAGAAAGACATGAGAAAGATGTTAGTTGAACTTGTTTATCATTATTAATCAAAAACAAAAAAAAACTCTACTGCATAATCATCATGATATACACGATAATATGTTTGTAAAAGAAACGAACAAGATTGTTCACATTCCATTATAAGCTGGACCTTCTCCACCTTGTGGTGTAACCCAATTTATATTTTGTGTTGGATCTTTTATATCACATGTTTTACAATGAATACAATTTTGTGCATTTATTTGTAATTGTCGTTGACCAGAGTCATTTTCAACATATTCATAAACACCTAAAAAAAATGATAAGGATGCAATAATAATGAAAAAAAAACAATGAATTTTATTTAATTTTACCTGCTGGACAATAACGTTGTTCAGGTCCATCATAAATAGGTAAATTAATTGTTGTTGGAACACTATCATTTTTAAGTGTTAAATGTGGTGGTTCATCATGATCATGATTTGTATTTGTTAATGCAACACTTGATAAAAGATCAAATGTAACAGCATTATCAGGTTTAGGATACTGGATTTGTTTACAATCTTTGGCTTTTTTTAAATAAGTGTGATCTGGTTCTATCGTATCGAGTAAAAGAAATAAGATAAAATTTAAATGATTGAAAATAATGAAGTAAATATTTACCTTCATGTTTAAGTGTAAATGGTTCTTTGCCACGCAATACAAAATGAAGAGCTGTATAAAAAATTCCACCAAATACACCTAATGATGTATTAAATGCTGGACGAACATTACGTATACTATATAATTCTTTCCATACCCAACTATTTTTAATACGATTATCATAATCACTTGGTTCTATACCTTAATATTTACAATAAAATAATTTATTTATTCAATGCTTCCTTTTTTTTGTTTTCTTTCTTCAAGTACCTTTTGTTTTATTTTCATTTGTTGATTTTGTTAATAAATCAAAAATACTTTCAGCAGCTATCATACCAGATTTCATTGCTGTATGTGTACCTTTTATTTTGGGAACATTTAAAAATCCTGGACTACATCCAGCTAAACAACCACCAGGAAATGAAAGTTTTGGAATAGCCAATAAAACAGAAAAAAAAAACAGAAGAACATAAAAAGAAATGTTTCTTGTAGTTTTTTAAATACCTGAAAACCACCTTCATTTAAAGCACGAGCTCCATAAGCAATACGTTTACCATTTTCGAAAAATGGTCGAATTTTTGGATGAGTTTTAAAACGTTGAAATTCTTGGTAAGGATTTAAATATGGATTTCTATAATCAAGAGCTACCTAAATAAAATATAAGAAATAAAATAAAAAGAAATTCTTTTTTCTTTTTAAATACATACAACATATCCAACAAGAATTAATGGTTGATCATTATCTATTATATGATACATAAATGAACCACCATAAGTACGCGTATCCTAAACAATAAATGATATTTTCATAAAAGATTTGAAACTTTATGCAAATCGTTGGAATACAAATATGAAGTGTTACTTAGTTTTGAATTAATTCTTTTTCCTCTTGATTAGACTCAAATAAAAAGAACTCAATACAGTAGCTAAGAATTATCGAGAAAGAATATTGCTTGTATAAAATCTTTATAAAAATAGATTTATAATTTATATTTCAAAATGTCTATCATCAATTTCAATACGAATTAATAATTAGATTCATAAGTTTCATTTAAAATACGTTTATTACAAATCAACTTACCATTGGCCATCCAGCTGTATGTAAAACAAGACCTGGTTCATGTTTACTTTTATCAACTTCCCACATTTCTTTTAAACCAATACCATAAGTTTGTGGTGTACAATTTTTTCTTAAATCAAATTTTTTATAAAGTTGTTTAGCCAAATGACCATGACATCCTTCAGCAAATATCGTATATTTAGCATGTAATTCCATACCACGTGCAAATGAATCCTTAGCAAATAAATATAATAATACAAATGTGATTCAATTTTTCAAAATAATTACTTTAGGTGAACCATCTTTAGCAATACCAACATCGTTTGTTGCTATACCTTTAACACTACCATCCTCGTGATATAAAATCTACATAATATAATGATTAGATTAAAATATATAAATTTCAAATATAAAAGAAAAACAAAATACATACTTCGCTAGCTGCTGTTGCTGGATACATTTCTACACCGGCTGCTTCAGCTTGTTCACCAAGCCATGCAGCTAATTTGCCCAAACGAACAAGATAATTACCATGATTATACATTGGAAGTCCTGAAATAGTTCATTCTTAAATAGTAAGATTAATCGAAAATATATATTACCTTTGATAATCGGAATAGGTATTGCTGATTTTTGAGTAAGAAAATAAAAACGATCTTTCGTCACTGGATTAGTCAATGGAGCACCTTTATCTTTCCAATCTGGTATTAATTCATCAAGTGCTCGTGGTTCAATACAAGCACCAGATAATGTATGAGCACCTTCAAATAATATCTGAGTGCTTTTTTTTTGATCTTTATTAATATCTGTTATTTTATCACGTACCAATAGTTGAAGCTTTTTCAACAACACACACTCGTACTTCTTTATTTTGTTGATTTGCTAATTGTCTTAGTTTAATTGCAGCTGAAAGGCCAGGTACAATGTAGTTAAGGAGTCTAGATGATTTTTTAATAGAATAATAGAAAAAACTATAGAAATCATGAAAAAAAAAGGATATCTGGTCCACCACCAACAATAACCACATCGTATTCTTCTGCGTAACGTTCCATATTGATATCTATAAAGAATTAATCTTAGACGAAAAGAAAACAAAAACAATTTCTTAATTAATCGTTATGTTATATCATGTTGACTAGACAACTTTACTCATATCGAAACGAAAAAAAAATACCTTTCCATCGTTCATCTTTGTCTCTTGGATAAATTGTATAATGTGTTGTTATTTTACGTGGTGTCGTTGTTGAATTCCAACGTCTCACGGAAAACGAAGGTCGTACTGAAAAGTAGAAACGATTTTATGTAGAGATTATGTTTGAATCTATACATACTTTGTTTAATAATCGATGGATGAAGACAAAATCGAAGTGAATACGACATTTATGATACACAAAAATATCTATCAATAGCTTTAAAAAAAGTAACAAAACATAGTTTTCTTTTATGTTTTATGTTCTCAATCTTATCTGAACGTGCAACATAGTCAATATCCAAAATAAAGACACACACACACATACACAAAAAGAAAAAAAACAAACAAAAAAGTTTGATCTGCGGTTTTTTCGCTTGAGCAAAAGATATACATGGGGAAGTTTACAAATATGTAAAAACAAATCGAATGAAAGCTACTCAGTCATTCTTTTTTAATGATGATTCGGTGATGTTCTTGGCATAATTGTTCTTTGTTGATAATAATTTTCTTTTCCAACTTTTAATCTTCGTCTACGACGTTTTGCTCTATGAATATAATTTATACTATTATTAGTATTATTTGTTATTGTTGATTGTTGATTATACATTGATTGAAGAAAATCTTGTGTAACAACAATACATTTTGTATATGGTACTGTTAATGTTAATCGTGATGATGCATCAGATATAGGTTGTACGATTTGTTGTGATGGTGTATCATGTTGTATAGCAAATAATTGTTCTATAGAATTAAAATCATCATTTTCATTATTAATTATTGATGGTAATACTGATGGTATTGGTGTATCAGGTAAATAATTTTGATAATCCATTGGTGGTGTTTGACTAACTAAATCATTTAAAAAATCATCATCAAAATTTAAATCATTCGAACTTTTATCTAATAAAAATGATATTTGATCATTTTGTTGTTGATTATTATTAGTTAATTTTGAAACAATTTGTTTTGATAAATTAAAAAATGTTTGAAATTCATTGACTTCATAATCATTTTCATTTGTATTTATTTGTTGAGATTTTTCATAATTAGAATAAAGATTTGAACGAAGTTGACTAAGATGTTTACTTTCATCAAGAAAATTTAAAAATGTTTTTGACATATGTTCACTTTCAAGATATTCAAGTATTAATAATGCTTCATCTTTTGCTGAAAGATTATTCTTAGACATTTTTTTTTTTTTATTAAAAGAAAATAAAATCAAATTTAGGTTTTATTGTACACCAATCGAAAGAAACAAAAAATATATATATATATATTTAAATTAATCTAAAAAAAAAATTTTTTTTTGTGGTTAGTCTTTGTTTTATTCGAAAAATAAAATGATGACAGTTTCTTTTGTTCTTAGTCAAAGAACAAAGTACAGCTTATTATGAAAATAAACTAATCAAGATAAACGATAGATGTCAGTCTGTAACAGAATTTTTTTTTAAAAGGATCATTGACAAGTTAAATGAGAAAATAAGAATGTTTAACTAAAAATTTTTTCGCTATCGATAGACAAAGACATTGAAAAGTTTTCTTTGATATTGTTTATCACTATTTAATCAATCAACGACTCGTTCAATCAAGTCAATAATATTAAAACTATACATATACGTAACGTGCTGACGCTTTGAGATTCAAACAAAATCTATTTTTGATATATTCGAACAATGTTTTTTTTTTATTGTAGCAAGAATTAGGAAATTAAGTGGATGTGGTAGCAGCAGTTTTCTTTACTCCTACCCAAAATCACATCCAGGTTCTCAAGTATACATGTATGTAGTTAATTATACTACCAAATTAATAAAAGAATAGCGATGTAACCTTTATCAAACGAAAATATGACTCGTAAACGTTGAGTTTCTTCATTTTATGGTATAATACTTATTCATCGTTGAGAGTATATAAAATTGAATGATTCTTTGTGCTTTTTTCACAAACAAACAGAGCAACAATGTTGATGTTAAGTAAATGTTTAAAGAAATCAAATGAGCCTATGAAACTCTATCGAACAACTTGACCAAACTCAAATATGACGCCAATCGTGAAGAGAATGAAGATGATGATTATACGATTTTATGAAGAAAACTGGTTCATTGTATCAAAGAAAATATCCAACTCTATCATTTAGTGATAATTTTGATGAGGTAATGACGAGTATCATCAAAACGGTTTTATACTACATGTTGAAGTTAAGTACGTCGTCCACATTATCCTCTGTTCTCTCTATCATCGAATCTACGAATCAATATTTACCTACGGTCCAAGCGTTGCGTTGCTACCTAGTCATTTAAAAACAGATGAAATCCAATCGAACTGTTCTTCTCAATATACTTCGAGCTATCTGCAATGATTTTCAAAATCAGGGCAAGCCTATTTGAAATATTCTCGTTGAATGTTGTCTTTTTTTTTTCATTCCAAGTTGCTCGATGAAAGTATTACTCAACTAGCCAACTCTTTATTCAAGACAAACAGCATCAATGCTTTGAAACAAATCAACCGTGAGTGTTTTGGTGATTAACGTGTCAAAACGTACCTTATAGAAGGTGTGATCTCAAAACTAAAAGGAGATTATTTTGATGTTGTCCGTAAATTCTATTAAGCTATGATATGCTGTTCTAGTAGAAATACTGCTATTGCGTTGACCACGCTCATGATGAATTCCATCTTTCATCAAGCTCTCATGCGTAAATGACCCCCTGAAATCAGTTCATTATCCAGCACTTGTGTCTAAAGTACAGTTGGATCTTCAATTCGTCCATCACCTTTCAAAATTTGCTACTGAAAATCATTTACTTTCTAGTAGTCATCTCAATTTTATATGCAAATATGCATGAACTATTTTGAAACATCTGGAAAATAATTCATTTGCAGCAGCTCTTTGATACATTGTCATGTATGTATTTTTTCGACTTACTCGTAAGAACAAATTCCAATCAAGGTCAAGAAACGCACGTCTATGCCTATCGAAACGTTATTGAAAAACTCGTAATTTAATCATTCGTCTTATCTCGCCATTACTTTCCACTACAAATGCAATTTTACATTTTTCGTGTGCTTCTAACTCCCATGATTATCAAAACAAATGAAACTTTTCGCTTGTATATCGATTACCGCAGATCGCAAACTGTCATGCAATACCGTCCAAGTTATTTCCCAGAGACAAAATCATTCAGATGGCAATGTCGTTCAGCTATGATTTATTGTACTTGGAAGTAGTGGGGCAAGGTTTTCTCGTCACCTTCTTTGAAAAAATTCATTCGTCGAACGACGGATGGCTCTATTGAGAACGGCGAGAGCTTGCTTTCGCGAGCCTACAAGATTCTTCAGAGGTGATGGCATTTCATTTGATATAAACTCAGATCAACCCAGGTTCAAAACTTACGATCGTATACGCCCGTATACAAAAAATTATGACGAATAACGATGGTCGTATACGATGCCATACGATTATATACTACTGCCGTAAACGACACTTGTATACAATCGCATTTTGGTCGTGTATTTTTTTCGTATATAGATGATAGCTCGGTAATATTATACATGTGCCACTTTTTTGTTACAAATTATTATTTGTTTTATATTTTCAACTTTACATGATCTTTATACAATATACTTTCTAAGTACTAACAATGAACTGGGTAGACTCTTGCCATATTTGTTGCCATAGAAAAGTATGAACAATCTCTTTTTTTTCTGGATCCTTTGCTGAAAATGCTGTCATGCATGTTTCATAGACGACAAGAATTAAATTTATTGTTAATATCAATCAAAAAATGTAGAGATGTTTGCCTAAAAAGATGACTTTTTCCATCTATAGAATTTAAGATTTAATTTTTTTGATGTATTCATGTGGATATGCATCTTGACTTTTTTTACATTCTATTTTGTATATTAACTTATGTATTGGTTATCTTGAAAATTTGATATAACTAGTCAGAGCAATATTATATACAGAAATTATGCCAACAAAAAAACTGTATTAAATAATTTCATAGAAAAATTTTGCCTCTATTTACAGAACATTTGATATTATACGACACGTAAATTCAATACGAATATCAGGCTCGACTTGGTATAGCGAATAGGCGTTCGGTAAAGAAAGAAAAAGAAGATGAAAATCATTTATGCGAACAGAAATGTAAAAGAATAATACAAAATGCAGAAGTGTGGCAGATGTTAAATTCAGAAAGAAACGGATGTTCTAGTTTTTATAAAGTTGATGTCAGTAAAAAGTTCGAAACAAGATAATGAAGTTCAAATTTGTATAATTTTTCTTAAGTTCTGGCCTGTATTTGTCTCTTTTTGTTTGTATCTATACAGCATCATTTTGATAAGGTTTCTTCCATCTAGAAATACAAGAACATAGTTATCACACCATTTTTATCAACTATTATATACTTAGTTTGCCAAGTTTTGTTAAAACCTTGTTATTTAGATTATCTTTTTTTTATGTAATTAATCAAAATATTTTTTTAAAATATGTATCAACACCTTCGTATCGCTATGGAACAAGCTCAACAACGGTTACAATACAAGCAAGAACAAGAAAATATTCGTCGTCGTCGTTGTCAAAATACACTTGAAGAAAAACTATCAACAGTGGTTGACGAGCCCGTAACAACATACGATAATCAAATGGAGAAAGAATCAAACATTCATGTTGAGGTGATGCATCAAATGTCAACGGATCCTGATGAAACATCAGATATCAATGATGATTTCAATCTTCTTCCATTCCACGAGGATACACTTGAATTTCAGTCCGGAATTAATTCTCATTGTGAAATACTGAATGATAATCAAGATGAACCGCTCTTATTAAATGATTTATTTTCACCGAACACGAATCAAAATATTTATTTTCTTCATTCGCATATCACCATGAAAACACACGATTTTTGTAAAAAATTGGTTGAAATTTTCAGAGATGCTAATATTAGTAACATCCATCGTTCTCGTATTCTCAGATTAATTAATAGTATTCTTCCACAACCTCATAATTCACCAGCAACATTAAAAGATCTATATGATTCAATGCAAGGTAAGGGAGCATTTCAGAATGTATGTCGTTCGCCCGGCAGCTCGACCGCTATGTCGCGGCATAACTGATTTATTTTACTTACATTTTGATATATTATTTGTTTCTTTTGATGTATGTATACGTATACACGAAGTATATTTTTCTATTTCTATTCAATATTCTTTAGCCCTAAACTATTCATTTTCTCCAAAAACAATGGATTTTTTAATTCGTGATAAGACTTTCGACCAACTTTATTACGTTGCAAACGTGATAATGATATTTCTCTCATTTTTTCTTGAGATTTTTCTTGTTTTTGAACATCAGCTATCTGTAGCTTGGCATAATAAAAACTCTTTAAAAAGTACTTGAGAAATTGATGAAACGTATAATAGATGAATTAAAGGATGTGGGCTGGGATGACTATTTCCTGGCCCAAATTATTTTTAGTTTCTAACCTTCTAAAAGGTGCCAGGAGGTCACTAGAAGTGTTTTCTACCACTTAGTTTCGCACCATCT